TTTTTTTTTTTTTTTTTTTTTAACTTGAGTTTTTCAGAGTTCTGCCAGGGTATAGTTATACTACTTCTGAAATCCCAGCATTTTGGGAAGCTGAGGCAAGAGCTCATGCGCCCATACCCAGCGGGGCTGGGCATGTGGCCTAGTGCAAACGCCCTAAATTCAGTCCCCAGTACCACATGCACAAGAAAAGAAAAATGTACTTCACAGAATTTTTTTTAGGGGACATTTTGAAACTAACAAAGTATTTTCAATAGAGGGCTTGTGATGAAACTCAACAGTTCCTTTCTCCCGAATGCACTAGCCTTGTCATTTCTCAGCATCAGTTTAGCTATTGTCTGTGGATGATTTGCACACTCACACTGTGCCTAGTTTGATGGTCACGTTGCAGTCTGTAGTTCTCGTTAATTACCTTTGTCATGGTATAGCATCAACTGTCTTTGTCAGATGAGGGTATCCGGCTCCTGTCCTTACCTGTGCTGTTATATTGTAGGCATTTGTGTTCTATTCTGTAACTGTGTTTTTAATGTTGGTTCTTTCTAAAAGCTGGATGTGAATAAAATGCTTATTTCTACTATGTTAAAAACACTGGAATGAAGTCAGTGTATAATTACAGTATAATTTTATTTCTTTCTCTTGGATTGTGATTCCACTGTCATTTACATTTACAAAATACATCTACATGGTTGAAAAGCTTCTAGTTTTCTATACTGTTAGGTGTTCAAAGTATGACATATTTTAATGGCCATGCCTTTTCATACAGAGGCCTGCCTTTCTTGTCTCCATACACTTTGCTGAAGTACACTGGTAAATAACTTACCCAGAAAATAGGTATGGGAAGCCAACTTTTCAGTCCTTCTGTGTGATAAGATTTCCAAGACTTAACGGATGATTTAACCGAGTATCGAATTCTAGATTTGAAATGTTTCTTGGTCATCACTGAGAAGGCCTTGCCCACGGTATCCGTTGTGTTCTACACACTGCGCTAGTTCTAACATCTTTTCCTTGAGTAGATGACCAGTTTGATCTCTTCCTGAAATTTTTGTTGTAGCTCTTCTTTAGTTTTTTAGTCATTTACAGTTTCTTACGAGTCTGTTCTTATGAATGCTGTATTTTTTAGTCTTCCTATTTATATTTTTCAATCTTTATTTCTATTTATGCTGGTTTCTTTTGTTTAGCAAGCTTTAAATAACTCTTTAGTGATAATGAATTGTCCATTCATATTTAATTAGGAACAGTGTCTAAAAGCTGGAGGATAGAGGGCACTACAATTAAGAGGCCTTTGGAGAACCTGTTTGGAGAACATTCCTATGGATTTTATCCCCGAGTGCTTTTCTGGCTATGCTTGCTTCGCCAAGCCAGAGGAGGCAGGCTTCTGGCACAGAAAGGCAGCAAACGAAAGCACCATATTTTGAACTACTGCTGGTACAGTATTTCAATATTTTATCTAAGAGGGAGGGAATAATTTTCAGTCCATTTCTTGTTCTTGTTCCAGCCTTTTGACTCTGTGTAACCATGTGTTTGACCAGAGGTTGAAACCAGTATTTTAAAAACTGTGGGGGCTGGGGATTTAGCTCAGTGGCACCGTGCCTGCCTTGCAAGCGCAAGGTCCTGAGTTTGATCCCCAGTATCGGGGTGGGGTGTATTGTGTCTACTGAGCCATCTTTTCTTTCTTGTCATCATTCCTTAGACCGTACCCTGATGCAGCATTCAGTGTTGGGGGTTGTGGCAAGTCATCTGAGCTGATGTGTGATGGGTACATGCAGATGGCCCACTCTGTAAGAGCTTTTACCACCCATGGATTTGGGTACCTGTGGGAGACCTTGGAACCAGTGCCCCGCAGAGACTGCAGGATGCTGGTCATGTTCTTTCTGAAACCAGAACCTCTCTCCAGGGTTCTTTACAGGCTACAGTACCATCTCAAAGTGTGTTTTTGTAATCCTGCCAAACCACCCTCTTGTAAAGTATATTACATAACAGTAGCTACTTAGAACAGAAGTATCTCCTGTTGAAGGGGTTTTGGTTATTTTCAATTCTTCCAAGTGTTAACATGGAATGTGCGTCTTAGACCACATACAATTACTAACATTTGTTTACTCGATTTACTAAATCTGTAGCCTTCAGATGACTGAATTTGAAACAGCTCCTTCTCAAAACATAGTCTCCCAACTGAAACTACATAAAAAGATCTTGTTTTTAAAGAAAAGTTGAGAAAATATATGGCAAAATATCTTAAAACAAACATCTGGTTCCTGAACAGAGTTAAGTAGTTCTCCCTTTCTTTAGTTCCTTTATAACAGTTTCATTGGATGGACTAAAATTGATGAGTAGACCATTGTATTGTAATGGCCTAGTTGTAGTCCGGATGAGGGTAGACTAAGCTAGCCCCTCTGGGTGCATGAGGGTGCAGCAGTGTTACTGATGGACGTGGAGGAGACTGGTTCAGGAAAAAAATATTAATATGCCAGTCTTGCCCAAGGGCAGTTAAAATCTTTGGGCAGTACTATAGACTGTAGAGGAAAAGTGAATTTATTAAAAATGAGGAAAAAAGCTCTGTCAGATAAAAAGACCACATTTAGTCTGTCTGAAATTTAATTTTTAGCTAACGTTACAATATGCGTTGGTTAAAGAGCTGTCACACTGTACCCGATGCTAACTTTTTCTTTTACAAGTAATCCTACCTGTAATACATATTGTCGAGCTCTGTCCACGTCTCCAGGTGAACTGAACCGTCTCATTATCATAGCATTCATGTCTGGGAACTAACCATAAAGAAAGGAAATTTATTTATTATTCTTAGAAGAACTAAGTATTCTCGTAGTAGTTTGTAACAACAGGAAATAACAATTTTAAAAAACCCCAAAAGATGGCTTAACGTCTGGATTACTGGGGAGCCATAAATGTAGCAGTTAAAGCTGAGCTAGAAGAGACATCCAGTGTGTGGGCCCAAGGAGTACCTCCAAAATCTCATTTGACTTTGCTGCTCAGGAAACTCTGATGCATGAGTGTACCCCCACGTTTGGTAGGGTAGAGTCCAGTCATGGATCGCTAACAAATTCCCAGGTGCCTCTGCTTCATTCCCTTTTGAGAACCACTGGCCTAGGATGAGGGGCACAGGAAGCTCCTGAGATGAGGGCAGAGTGAACATCAGAGCTCCAGAGCAGGGCTGCCAGATGTTATGTTCATCCAGGAGGCTAAGATACACTCTGTTTTGATTATGCTGGCTTAAGATTTAGCTTGGGTATCAGGGCTTTTAAAACTTCCCAGGTATTCTTAATGTGCAGCAGATGCAAAGAATTACTGAGTGCTGAAAGAGACCAGAATTAAGCTGAAAGAGGTACAAGGTTAAAGATGAAATTTGTATTTCACAGTACTTAGTAACTATTTCGAATTGCCACCACTAACAGGGAACTAGGACAGCAAGTCACTTCACTTCCTAGATGCAAGCCCTAGTCCTGATTCGGCCACCAGCAGCCACAGCTGGATGAGTTCCGTATCAGCCTCCTCATCTGTCTCATGATCTGAAACCCTTGATTTCTAACAGTCTGTAGTTCTGTGGAATAAGAGGTGGGGTGTGTTTGGTCTTGGACACATCAGTGCTTGCTTACAGCACTTGCCAGTTTTTCCCTGGAAGTGAGCCTGAAGGATGAAATAAGTTGTTGTCCTATAACCATCTCCATGGTTTTAGTAATTCTGGAAGAAAGAAATGGGCATGCAAGAATGTTCTTTTCAGGGGAAGCTATGTCAGAACATGTACTCCTCTCCTGTCCTCTCCAAACACATACTGCGGTCCTGCCATCTGACCTTTCTATCCTTCAAATATGCCATGCTGCTTCCTGTAGTGAGGCCTCTGTCCTAGCGCCTTCTCTCTGCCCCGTGGTGTCCTTCAGCCAGTCTTTGACTTAATTCGTTAGTTTTAACATCCAGAGACTGCTAACATTCTTAGAGGATGATGATGATGATTGTACCAGGGATGGAACTCAGGACCTTGCACTTGCCGGTCCCTTCTCACAATTTAAACAGCCGGCAACTGGTTAGTTCTTAAATGAAAATCACGCCGCTATCAAGAAATCAGTAACAAATGCTGGTGGAGCTGTTGGTGGGAGTGCAGAGTGGTGCAACCACTGTGGAAATCAACATGGAGATACCTCAAAGAGCTAGGAATACAGGTTCCATTTGACCCAGCCATCCCTCTGCTGGGTATCTACCCAGAAGAATTAAAACAACCCATGTTTATGGCAGCACAGTTTGTAATAGCTAAAACTTGGAAACAGCCCAATTGCCCATCAACTGGAGACTGGACAATGAGAAATTAGTCATAGGAAAATGGATGGACCTTGAGGCCAGACACGTGTAAATACTGAATAGTTTCTCTGCTGTGAAAAACTATAACTAAGATTCAAACTGTATAACTGATAATGTGAAGCAGAAAAGAGCTAAAGGTGTAGGGGAAAGGAAACAAGGGAAAAGGGAAAAAATGGAAACAGTCTTTGTAAATAGGGGTGGGAGGGGAGGGGGTGAGGGGAGGGCAAGGACAAGGGGAAAAAATGAGAACCAAGACCTGTCATGTAAAGGTACGAGATCCCAGTGATGAATGGAACTGTACTGTATAGCTCAAATGTACCAATAAATAAGCTTTAACAGAAACATATCAAGAAAGCCACACCAGGTACATTCCAGTACTATCTTCACAGCTCGTATGACCATGTCCTGGGCACCCAGTAAAATGACCCTGTTCAAGTAAAATGACCCTGTTCAGTGTGGCAAAATGTGTTGATCTTTACCATAAAATGCATCAAGAAAGCAAAATTTGAAATAAAACGTGCATTGAGCCTGTGGAGTTTTAATATGCAAGTGTAAAAAAACTTCCGGGGGGACATCCACATCCCTTACTGTGGCATGTGAAGAAACAGGAAGGACAACTGCAGATTTAGTGAGAAATATAACATTTTTGTTAGCTCAGGCTGTTTCTGAGAGGAGGAAAACAACCTGCGAGTGAATCAGATTCTCCATCTGTGAAATCCATCCACAAACAGAACCACAAAGGTACTCAGTAAACGGGAGTGAGTTTACCCAAACAGAAGCGGTCACTAAGGCACCCGCCTGTCACAATAGCATATGCTCGTGCAGCTGGTGCAGGGGCTGGTGACGGCAGTGAGAAATACGGCTGCAGGCTGACATTTACGTCTATTAGCAAAGAGAGAAGCAGAAGAGAAAGTTTTTCAAAAGATCTTGAAAACCAGTGTAGCCTCACCAAAGAATACCACTTCCATTCTGTTTCTTCTAAAGCTTGTAAGATCTGATCAATACATTCTTGAAAGATTTAACATGAGATTTTGTACTTAAAAGTACAACACACACACACACACACAGAGGACACTGCCACCTCTCCAGAAATCCTGAAACTTTTCTTAGCCCTGCGAAAAAAAGGCCTCAACACAGGCTTCACGATGGCATGAAGCAAGCGCTCTACTTTTCTCAGGCACCCTGTGCCACAGCTATCGGCCAAGAAATGCCTCCCTCCAGGAAGATGTCAAAAACTTTGAGGACAATTTCCCTCGCCAAGTAAAAAGGCAGTTCCCCAAGACGGCCAGTCCGGCTCCCGTGAGGCTCCGTCAGGTCAGAGAAGAAAGTGTAGGCTTCTAATCAAACAAAACTCATTACCCACGGGACAGGCTGGGCAGGGCAGTGACCACACACAGGACAGCAAACGAATGCCGGCCTTGGCACACTTGCGAACAGTCAGTTGCTTTCTGTGCCATTTACCAGATGTTTAATTTTGGCCCGACTTGGGCATCAGCATCTTATTTGTAGAACAGACATCATAATAGCTACTACAAAGAGGAATTGTAAGGTCAGATATGATGTATGAAAGAATCCTTTAGAAATTAAAAAGAACACATTTTTCTTAAGATACACTACATATTAAGTTATTTTTGGAACTTGCTTTACCCAAAATTTTACTTCCAATAAACCTTGGCAAATGCCTTGCTAAGAATCCCTTTTTTGACAGTGTAATCCCCAGTAGAGCTTAAACTTGCTGTTTTATTTGAAATGACTTACAAATACTTATTTGTGTAACTATAAATACATATTTGACTAACTTTTGGCCCATGTGCCACAAGACAAAAAAAAAAGAATCGGTCTGAAATGAGTCCTATCCAGAGTCATTTCCTGCTGTCCCTTTTCCGCGGCTGCACTGTGCCTCCCCCTCCCACTGCTTTACGGGCAGATGAGAAAAGTGCCGTCTGCTGAGCCTGAGTGAGCAGACGCGTATGACGCGGGGGTTTCCCAAGGTTGCGCACAGCTGTGGTTTCCCAGTTCCTTCTCCGTGTCCCATCCCTCCGCTCTGCATTTCCCCACCTACCGTGGATCCGACAGACCGCTCTGTGGCGGGGTCCACTCACCCCACCCCGCTTTGCTTTGCCCCATGACATCTGAAGGCAGCACGAGCCCTTACTCCTTTGTGCAGAAGACAGCAAATTAATTTCTGAAGTACGTTCACAAGAGGTCACACCATTCTCAACCATCATCATAGCAAGTATTTATACTTGAGATTGCTAAAAGTCTAGCAACCAAAAATTTCTCCCAACCACTGATTTCAGGGCCTACCTAAATGGGGTTCTCCTGAGCCAGCTGCCTTTCGGCACACTCAGGCCTTCACTGTGCGTTTGTGGTTGTAGCACAGCACACGCCTTTACAGATAAACGGCTTCTCATTTTCTCACGTGGGTTTAGGGTAAGACAAAAAGTTCACTCAAACCACCACATTTGGCACAACTCAAGCACACCTCTCACTTCTCAGTCTCAGCCTCACAATTCGAGGACAGAGGCGGCCATGCACGCCCTCTCCTACAGCCCTGCCACGCAGGACACCAGCCTCCCGGGGGTGACAGCGCTGCTAGGTGGGGGAGATGAGCTCTCCTTGGGCCCATCAGACACTAATTAAAGGCAAGGCCACTGGTTTCTGTATCAAAATAGAAGCACTGAGTTCTGCAGCAGAAGGTGAGACTTACTCTTTGCAAGTTCTAAGAACAGGCAAAATGTGAGGGATCGAAAAGCTGGTTTTTAATTTCAGGGTATGGTGATGAACATCTTTATACTTTGCTAAATAACGAATTAAATGCCACTAAGATGAAAGTCTTTTTTAAAGCAAGTCCAGGTACTAGCTAATGTCCCACTTATTTCAAGTGATACCTGATACAGCCAAAAGCAGCATGGCCAGGGTCCAGGGCAGGCTGTGCCCACACCTGCTCTGGGAGGCACGGCAGCACCCCCGATGCCCCCCTGGGCCTTCTGTCCGTGTTAAGGGCAACGTGAAGGTGGCTTTACTCCTTTCCTTCCTCGCCGGTCCCCAATCTAGCGCATTCCACTGACCTCTTGACCTTTTCAGGCCTGTCTCGGAGCAGCAAACAGTCCCTTTAAACTTCTACAACTGAAGAAATTTCTCAGAATTTCTTAGGCTTGGAGGGCCTTGATGCTTCCTGTGCCTTTTTAAGGGGCTTTGAGGCATCCACAAATTCCAGTCCTACAATCAAGACGTGGAAACTAATCACCTTGCCAATGCCCAAAACAGGCGAGATAATCAGAATGCTTCCTTACACGCACACAGCACCTCACAACTTACGCGATAACAAGTATTCTCTCAGCTGATCCTCGAGCGAGCTGCAGGAGGGCGCCTGCAGTCTTCTCTCTCACAGATAAGGCCGAGAGAGGCGAAGTGACTGGCCCAACATCTCAGCCACGACACCTCTGGTCTCTTACCCGGACGCCTCCCTGCCTCACGGCCAGGCCGTGTATCCGAGGCAGTCGGAAAGCTTACCTGCCGACAAGCAAACAAGACAGGGCCAGTGGCTAAACCGAGCTTCAGGTCGGCCGACGTGGGCTTGCCCATCTCTTCGGAGCCCGAGGTGAAGTCCAGCACATCGTCCACCAGCTGGCACGGGAAAGGGTGTGAGCAGCGCCGCGTGCGGACACCCAGCCCACCTGCTCGCGAGGCGCACCCACCTGGAAAGCGATCCCCACGTTTCTTCCGTACTGATAAGCGATCTCATGCACCGCTGGGTCGGGGCACCCCAGGACAGAGACCTGAAACAAAACAGGATTCAGAGATGAGCCGCTGGCAGCCAGAAGTGAGGGTCCCAACTCGGGATCCAAGAATCAGCCACACAGTTCCCTAAGAAAGTGGCAACGAGGCCACGCTCGACTCAGCCAGAGATACTGACATCAAAAGAAGGGTGGACAGGCAGAAAATATTCTTTACTTCTGTTTGGCAGTGCTAGGGACTGAACCTGGGCCGTGAGCGCGTGAGGCAAGTGTTCTGTCACAGAGCGAATCCTAAGGAGATGATATGCTACCATCTGCCCCACTTCTTTCAAAAGAGGATAAGCAGTCTTTCCTGTCACAGCGTAAGAAAAACCAAGGTATGATGAGGTAGCTCTGCTGGTAATACGCTACGTAAACCTTGCTAACATGAAAAAGAACGTCACAGTACGCGAAACGCCGGCTTCAGGACGAAGCACGCCAGCCTCGCTGCTGTTGCCTTAACAGCCCATGGCTTTCTCCTTCCTGTTATCCTCTACTTCCCCATCTGCAGTTCACTCTTTAATAACTGCTGGTGACTCCACTTATTTTTGAAGGCAATTATGTCTTGCTGATCTGTAACAGCCTCAAGCCTCATGTCTGGACAGTGTTAGATTTTAAGAAATCTTCCTCGGATCTTCTTGGTCCTACTGTTTCTATACTTCTCTTAGAAATACTTTAACTGTACAGAAACTATTTTTTTCCCTTGTTATTGAGGGGAGAAATAAGACTTCAAAAGTCTTTTTTTTAAAAACTAATAAAAAATCTAGCCGGCCCGCACCCCTTCTGCGCATCTCCGGCTGCTCTGCTCAGCATGCTAAGCGGGCCCAGCCACATTTTCAGAAAACAAAGACGGGTGAGACCAAAAGGGGCAGGGGGAGGCATCCTGCCGCCAGCGCTGACTCTCAGTGAAAGCCAGACGGAGCTCTTCGCGGGCCTGCTGCTCGGCATCCGGGACAAACGGCCCCTGTCCGTCCGTCTGGAGCCATCTCACGGAGCAGAGCCTTACAACCGCCAGGCCCCTGGGCAGTGACTCGTCTTTCTGTGCTCCGTTTCCTCGTATCAAAGCGTTTACCTCGGAGCGCGGAGGAGAAATGAACGTGACGCTACACCCACGCGCTCTGCAGCTCTGCCCGGCTCTCCCGTTACCGATCCTCTCCCGTTTTCCTCACCCACTGCACCCACTGCCCGGAACCTGGCACTTGGCACGGAGTGAGAAAGGGCTCCTGAGGGGGAGCCGGGGCCCACGCGGGGAGAGCCGGTTCTGCTCCGAGACAGTAACGGTACCGAGGGAGATGGACGCTGTTCTGTCAGCACAAAGCCAAGTCTCCTAGGGCCCAGGAAGTCACTCGCACTTCGGGTCACCCTGGCCAAGCCCCGCAGTGTCCCACGGCACTGGCACTGCTGACGGCTACCGCTTCCCGGGCCCTCAGCCCCAGGCCCCACACGAAGGCCCTCACAGGGCCAGAGGCGCCGCAGGCAGAGCCCGACCGGACCGAGCCAGCAGAAGCCCAGTGGCCCGGGGCCGTGCGCTCCACGTGGCCTGAGGCTGCCCTGTGCCCTGTGCCCTCCCAGCAGCCACTTCTCCCAGTTACCGGGTCACCGTCCCTGCCCACTTGGCTCTGCTCCCGACCCCTGACCAGGGCGAGCCGTCTGGGTCAGCACACGCTAACGGGAAATCGCGACTAGGGAGATCAGATGCGACACGCACATGTCCGGGCACACACGCGAGAGGCACACAGCTCGGCTCGGCCTCTGCGCATCCTGCTGGAGCGGGCGGAGTCCAAGCTGGGGGACTTCCCGGGGACCCCATCACAGTGGACCGTCCTGCGTCTGGCTGGAGAGAGCAGCAAGGACTGTGCACTGGGGGACAGTACTTGGGTAACAGCGGGTGGTGTGTGGGCACCACCACGGGTTAAGAACTGTATTATGATGGTTAAATGTATGTATTTTGGTCTTATTCAAATAGTGCAGAGAAGTAAAACGCTACCATTAATTACAGAAAATAATATCAAAACAGTACTGTCTGAAAATACTGGGAGAAAACATACTCAACATATCATGGATAAGCTAATATTCTTAATACTCAACACGTCCTACTCAACGTATCATGGATAAGCTAAGTTTATTCTTAATATACGAACCATTCTTAAAAGCCAAGGAAAAAGACCAAATGCCCTCTAGAAAAATAGGCTAAACACAAGAACAGACAGTTCATAACAATGGAAGGTATGGCCCTTTGCTTTTTGAAATGATGTCCAATGATGGTTTCTGGGAAAACAAAATGAGCCTGGAGCATCTCCTAGAAATCAAACCTATGAAAGCATAAGGGAGATGTGTGAAAAGGACACGAGAGCCGTGGCAGAGGGCCTTGCCCTGCTGGTCACATACAAGCATGAAAGTAAACTGTAAAGAATTACAGTCCACAGAATAACACAGGTAAGAGCTTCCGTACAAGAGGGCATCTATCAACTCCGCTGCAGAAGAGGAACGCTGGCGCCACGCCTGCCTCGCAAGCACAAAGTCCCGAGTTCAATCCCAGGTACCCTCCCCAAAAGGAAGGACAGAAAAGCCACTATTTCACAACCAGTGCCTCAGGAAAGAGCCATAAATACACAGATGCAAAAGCCAGAGCCCGAGTTTCATGAGAAATGATTTACATAACATGGACATACTTCCCCTCTTCAAACGTCAGGGTGATGAGAGACAAAGGCTGTGGACGTCTTCCTGGCTTTTCTGCCGCTGGGGGTTGAAGGCCCTGCAGAGCTCCTCTCCATCATTTTACCCCTTTAGAGGCCCTGTGTACACTGCTGAATTGCTCAGGCTGGGCTCCGACTTGCAACCCTCCTGCTTCAGCCCTCCCTTAGTTTCCCACTCTTTCCACTAAGATACAGTGGGAGGTCCAAGCAGGAGGGCGGGGAGGTGACAGGGAGAGGCGGCCCCTGAGAACGCAGCGTTAGCATTCGGGGACCGCACTGGCTCTCCTGTGAGGACCCTCATCTGCAGTCTTACTCCTCTAATGGGCAGGTCTGATCTGCTTTGCATGCACTCCTTTACAGCTCGCATGCCTTTGCATCTTAAACACCAAGAATACATAAAGATAGCAATGTTGAATATATAACACCTCTGGAATATTTCCACCCATGGGCACTTCATATAGAAGCGTTTATTCACAGAGCTCACACTGATCTTCCTTCCTTATTCTAAGTCTTGGGGCAAGGGGTGTTCTGGGCTGTGCCAGCACGCCTCCTAGTGGACAGCACACAGCGGTTCAGTTCAGAGGACTGAGGGAACCAACGCACACAGAATTCCTGGCTCACTTGCAAATCTCTGAAGGAGCTGCCCTTACAGAATACCTGGGCGTCATCTGAACAGTGAGCACAACCGAGCCGCCTCTTTGGGCGCCATTGCTGAGGTCCTAGCTCCTGTCTGGCCCAGCCGGCTCTGCTCCCGCCCAGTGTCCCTGCCAGCCCCACCCCTGCCCTAGCTTCAAACCAGCCTCCGACTCGTGAAACCACCGACTTCGCCCCACACAGCAGTGTGTCCTAGGAGGGTGGATCCCGAAGGCTACTGTGGCTATCAAGGGTATATGATGCTCTGTGAAGGGAAGCGCACCCACTGTGCGGCTCCCACTGTACATAGATCCTTTTATTATTTAGCATTTAGAGTCTTATAATTTCATCAGTCTCTCTTCTCCTAAAAAAGCAGTAATGGCTTGGAAATAAAACAGAAATAGCCCTTTTAATAAGAGGAGAAACTGGCTGAGATGTGGCCAGCATGCCCCACGTAATCCACATTCCTTAGGGTTTCAGTGAAGTCTTCCTTGGAAGACAAGAGTCGTCCTCATTCTTTCCTGGCTCACAAGCACACGTTTCTTGGTACTCCTCAGAGCAGAGTATCAGCAAGGGACTTTTCTCTGCAGTCTGAGAAGCTCTTCTGAGTGTAATTATGCTAAAAGGGTATCACGATTTACATGCAGTTTACACGAGACTCCAAGAGTCCTCTTGCTTGTTGCTTTAACTACCTGGGACCACTACTCGGCTGTTTGCTAGGCTGAGGTGCATGGATGAAAACTCTGCGGAGACAGTTTTCTAGCTCATGAGCTTAACAACAAACACCAAGCATTTAGTCTGCAGGCGAAAGGTGCAAACGAATGGAAAACATTTGGACGTGGAGGATGAAGGGAAAGCCACAGGGAAATAGCTGACCATTCACACCCTTTACATCCAGAGAAAAAGAAGGCTTATTTATACTTCATAAAATACTGCGACAAGCTAGTAATATGTGGGCCACTAGGAACATCAAACAGGCACCTCTCGGGTAAAAATATATTTACGAACACAGCACTGAAGTTTTGAAAGGCAGATGTCAGAAATAATGTGTGTAATGGCAGCTGTGAGAAAAACTGACATAAACTGTTCAGAACGCCACACAGCGTGGACATCAGATTGGGGAATACAAGGTGTGATGAAAAACATGGTGAATGAAGGCCATACTGCTGCCAATTCCCCTCGCTTCAAACACACAGACCCCCTCGTCCTTGCCCCCTTCTGAGAAGCTCTGCAAGTCCTTTTGTGAGGCTCTTTAACTGCACTGCTGTGGCTGCCTCGGTGTCCTGAATCAATTGAAAATGCTATCGTCTGCAGTCATTGGACCTTCTGGTGAGCACAGCGGATGAGGACGCGGCCCAGTGTTTGTGCAGGCCAGTCCTGCTGCCTCAGAAATGGCAGCCGTGAGACTGTGCCTGAAGGGAGAGGAGTAATCTGAGGGGGATTAACGGCAACGTCTTTTATTGTAACAAATTTTTTAAAAATTCAAACATTCACTGCATGTTTTGAGTACATCTTGTACTCTGATTCAACTCTTGGGAAGACAGAAAAACAAAAAACACACAAAAAAAGTTAATGTCTGAAAACCAAACGAAGATGGCAAAAATGAAGACCAACGGCCTACAGCAGAAGCTGTCTGCTGCTGGGAGTGTAACTGTTTTCTCATTTGCCTTTTGGAATTCTGTATACTATTTCAAGGTTCTCCACAGAAATATTTTCTAGGCGAATTAGCTCCCAAGAAAGAGCCGAGACTTTTTTAGCTTGAAGAGAGACAGAACGTACATACTGCTTTGCAACTGTTGGCTATCAGGCTCGCAGTCTTCTTGAAGGTCTTTTCAAGGTAGTGGGCAAATCGCTCGTTCTCGTCTTCTTTTGATCCAAGCTGGAGAAATTCACCTAGAAAGAAGGAAAGGGGTCGCCTGAGACATGGTTTTGTTGCCTGGGCAAATACAGGGACTAAGTTAAAGAAAAAAAGGAAAGAAAGATCAGAATCAACCTACCACGCACCAAATCTTCAATAACTTGGGTTAAAATAGATATAACGGTAGTGTTTCCAATCCGTGCCAGAGCTATAGATGCTGCAGAAAGAATTAAATCTCCAGCAAGAACAGCCTAAAAAAAAAACACCACAAAACAAAAATCTTTCAGATAAAAAGATCAGAACAACGGAGCCAAGGACGAAGCTGACTTGTCAGAAGATAAATACAAACCGGGAGAGAGGTGTCATCTTGGACGAAAGCTCTTCCCTGCCTGTTACTTTTCTCTCATTGCTGAGACACAATTCCCAACGCCCAGAGTTAAAGGGGAAAGGTTTCTTTATCAGTGTGTGGAGGTTTCGGTCCATAGCCAGCCAGTTCCAGGACAGGGCAGCAGAGGAGCACCACTCCAACAAGGGGGGATGAGGGCGGTGCCAAACCAACGCAGCCCCTCCTGAAGAAGACTGCATGAGGCTTTGGGGAGACACCTACACACAGGCCTGACGCTTCCTTCCGGACCCTACCGATCTAGGCCCCAGGCAGGTGGCGGGCAGTCAGCTTACCCTGCGGCTGCTCCCCACCCCACCCCACCACGGCTCCTTCAGCTGAGCCGCACGGCGCTGCTCACCTCCCTCAAGCCACGTCCCCGGGCCTCTGCACATACTGTCCCCTCTCAGGCCGGGGCCTCAGCTCAGGAGTGGGAAGCTCCCATGTGAGGCACGCTGGTTTCATTCTCAGCACCAGGACGGCAACAACAGCAGGTCCTGCTCTGCACTCATCAGCTCAGAGCTGGGCCAGGCCCGCTAGGATGCGCCCCTCAGCGAGCGCAACACCGCAGGCTCCCGAGACCCAGACCGGGTGCAGGGCCGAGGCTCCCCATCCCGGAGGGCAAGGACCGCCCAGCCCCAGCTGGAGCTCAGCATGCCCCAGTTTGCAGGCTAACACGTGTCTTTTTGTGAAGATTAAGGAAAGGGCGCTCTAAGTTCAGTGCTCTTTGCGGGGTCTTAGCCTTTCTTCAGCAGCGCTGGGGATCCAAACAAGGGCTTCCCACCTGCCACCTAAGTAGGTACTGTACCACCGAGCTAGGCCCAGCCGGATGACAGGCTCCTCACCGGTCATTCAGTGAGCAATACTCTGCCAAACGTCTTTAGACTGCAAGATGTCCAGGATGTATTCACAAATTATAAATTATACAGTCCAATTATGTTTTGTAATCAAATACTTCATGTATCTATGCATCCATAGTAATCTGCATATTTTAAAAATGCATGTTATATTGTACCAGTCATAAATGGTACAGTTCCTAGAAATTTTAACACATCTCTCTAGGTACTTACTGTCTGTTCTCTGTAGTCCCTAAAACAGAGTCCACTCTATCTCAGTGAATCGTTTTCTATAATACGTGTTACATAAGTTGGTTCCACACAAGTGTTTGCTCATAACACCATTTACACCCACAGCACACACGTGCGTAATACCGCCCGTCCACTCCTGCTGTCACTGGCGCCAAGGCCCGAGGGTCCTCTCCCGCCTGGGAACCCCCAGACTCAGCTTTCAGCCTGTGTGTGAGGAGCGGGTGGGGGCCGGGAGCCCCAGGCCCTGCGAAGGTGGGGAAAGGAGGAGCCGACAGGCAGGGTGGAGAGGCCAGACACAGGGGCCGATGTGTCTCCCGCTCCTCCCATGCGCAGAGGCCGGGCAGCAGGGGAAGACGCACGGGGCCCCGGGGGTCACTCCACCCACAGGCACAGGTGGGCGACCACCGCAATGAGTCCTGCAGAACGGAACCCACCTCCGGTAGCACCGATATGCAGGAGTGTGTCAAGTGGACGTGAAACTTTTCATTTAAATTTGGAAATAAAAATGAAACTAGAGAACACCATCCCGCAAGTCACTGCTGATGAGCAAAAGCAGCTGTGAGGACGGAGCGGGGCGGGTGACGCCGGGACGGGACTCAGGCTGTCCCACCCTGGGTGTGAGTGCTGCCTAAGGGCAGGCAGCCTGGACAGGATGTGAGGCACAGAGAGGCTCCCCGCCTGCTGCTGGCACCTGCTCTGCCAGGCCCCTCCGCCTTGCTGTCCCGCTGACCATGGCCTGAGCCCGTACAGACCGTGAGCCAAACAACCCTCTCCCTTAACTCTGGGTGTCGGCCATTTAGTCTCAGCGATCCCGGCCCTGGTGAGATTTCTAAAACTCCCCAAAGAAGAAAAACAACAAGCGTACCTTCTTCTCACCCCAGATCTTATTCACCGTGTGTTTTCCTCTCCGGGAGGTGGCGTCGTCGATGACGTCGTCGTGAACCAGGCTAGCAGTGTGGATCATCTCGGCAATTAAGGCGATGGCGCGCTGGCTGGCCTGCACGTCTCTGGTGGACAGAGAGCAGCGCGTTTAACAGACGCCACCACAACCTCCCAGCAGTCACCTTGTGAAAAGCGGACCTCGGACCTACGATGGAGAATTTCCTTTCTCTAAGAGCAACTGCATCACAACTCTGGCTTCCCCACAGAGCCGTTTCCATCCCTTGGAGAGCACTGTAAAAATGCACAGGAGACCCTGCCCAAAGTCCACGGACTCCACATTAAGAAGCAGAATTTCAATAGTCAACCACATAAGGACGCTGGACTGTAAAACATCTTTATGTCTTACGGCACTGGCCTGGGCAAGGAATGCAAGTTCCTAATTAGGTTACAATTAAGTGGCAGGGCTGCATGGAGAAGACACAGGAGAAATATTTTAAAACGTGTCTTAAAGAACTGTCACTTTGTTGAAACCTTTTAATACTGTCTTAAATGTTCAGTATGACATTAGCAAACAAGACAGAATGGTTAAATTTTCTTCCAACTCATATTTAACCTTTGTACTAGAAATATTTCCCAAGTTTAACACAAATTACAGGATAAGCACTGTCGATATAATACACAGATGTGAATTATATAAAGGACACGACCGTAGGTCCTTGTGCTGTTTTAAAGAGATGGACTCTGTTGCCCAGGGTAGCCACGAATGCCAGTGCTCAAGTTCTCTTCCTACCTTCGCCTCCTGGCGTGGCGGGGGATACAGGCAGACGTGCAACATAACAGGGCTCCAAGGTTTTTTCTAATTATAGTCATTATCACTGTCACCATCTGAGAATTTTCAATAAAATCAAACTAGAAAAACAGCCAACTGAATTTTCTGAACCTAAGACACGTGCCTGACTTACATACTAACCAAATGTTTCCATTATTGTCACAGCTTACTTTTCAAATATCATTGGGTTATATCTTTAAAAAAAGAGACGAATGACCTTTTCTTTAAAAATCGAATCTCATCCATAGAGTGGGATATTCTGTAATATAATAACGAACTATAAAAAGCAAGTAATAACAGTAGTATAGTAAATGAAAGGATCTTGACATTTTAAAAAGAATATACTTTATTATTGCTTTTTAATATGTCCATTAATATAAAAATGGTGATAAAGTGGTTTTATTTTTGTTTGAGGTGAACTGTCTAGAGAGAGATACAAAATAAATTTCAGTCATCATAAAAAAAAAATTATTGTCACAGCTTACTTTTCAAATATCATTGGGTTATATCTTTAAAAAAAGAGACGAATGACCTTTTCTTTAAAAATCGAATCTCATCCATAGAGTGGGATATTCTGTAATATAATAACGAACTATAAAAAGCAAGTAATAACAGTAGTATAGTAAATGAAAGGATCTTGACATTTTAAAAAGAATATACTTTATTATTGCTTTTTAATATGTCCATTAATATAAAAATGGTGATAAAGTGGTTTTATTTTTGTTTGAGGTGAACTGTCTAGAGAGAGATACAAAATAAATTTCAGTCATCATGAAAAAAAAAAATCGCATCTCAGCACCGGCACAAAGGTAGTACTCATTCCAACTCCTCAGTCCTAGCAGAAACCAACGGAAAATGACGGACAACTACATGGAGAATGAAGGACCTTCACAGTGTGACGCCTGGCTGACTCGCCTTTCGTCAGAACCTTCGCACTGTTTTCAGGCTGGAAACCAGTTATAGAGCTCTGCTTCTCCTTTATTCACATTTCACAAGCCACAACACAAGAGTAAAAGCAACGTAGACAGGAAAGTCCGACTAAACCCCTCAGAGGTGAGGGTGGAGTGCTTAGTGCACACGAGGCCCTGGGTTCAATTCCCGACACCAAAGGGCCTGACAGCAACAAAGAGCCTCAGTGCACAGGACACAGAGGCTCAGGCTTTCAGGAGCCCCTGGGGCCCTCAGTGAGGCCTCCAGACCTTGTACTAAGGAAGCTTCCGCATTTTTCAGGGGAATTTGCTAGGCCCTATCTTTTTGAAATGCATAGGAAAAGGTACAGACTTTAGCATTTGGTTTAAATATAAAGGCTATTTTTTTGGAATATTTTCCAACTGAACTTGTCTAATTGAATATATACCTCTTACTGACAGCAGAACTTATCTGTACAGATCACACAGATTTTATGTGCTTTGTATCATTTTATCTGATGCAGTTTTATTGCTTTCATGTGTGTTGGCTTGTATCTGCCACTGCAGCATCCCTGAGGGACAGAGGAGCAAACCTCACAGGTGAGGAAAAGCTCACACTACGTTAGGGTGAGGTCTCTAAACTGCCAAGCCGAGTCACGCCTTAGAGAAACTGGGCACGCTCCTACTTCCTGCTGTGAAGTAGAGGCCACACTTCTCCGGCTCCCCGCAGAGGTTACAGCTCAGGCAGCTGGAAAGAAAGAACCCTACAGTTTTAAAAGCTGGCCATGGCTGGGTGTGGTGGCTCACGTATGTAATCCCAGCACTCCTGGAGGCTGAGGCAGGAGGATCACCAAGCTCAAGCCCAGATTAGGCAACCTACAACTTAGAAAGACCCTCACAACACACACACACACACACACACACACACACACACACACACACACACGTTAGCCGGGCGTGGTGGTGCACATCTGTAATCCCAGCACTTGGGAGGCTGAGGCAGGATGATCCTGTGTGTTCAAGACCAGCCTGGGTTACATAGTGAGTTCCAGGGCAGCCTCAACTACATCGTGAGACCCTGTCTCAAAAAACAAAACAAAACAAAAAAAGAAAACAAATAGGCTGGGGATGAAGCTCCATACAAAGGCCCTGGGTTTAATCTCCAGTCCTGTAAAGGAATAAAAATTTTAAAATTAGACTAAAAAGGGTTGGGATTTTAGCTCAGTGGTTCCGCCTATCTCGCAAGCGCAAGGTCCTGAGTTCGATTCCCCAGTACAAACAAACAAATACAGCAGACCTTTGATGTAAGGTCTACAGGACGGGAAGCAGCAGGGTGGGGCGCTGAGGAGCCATGATGCCATGCTGCTGCTGACGCCCACCTCAAGCACAGGAGCCTGAGCTTCAGGCCTGGGAGCGGCTTTGTACACCATCTTCCAGCGCCCTCACAGCAGGAGCAGCCATTCTGCTCCCCACCCTGACCTGTGCCCACTGGAAGTCGAGCTCCACCGTTCTATGGCACTGGCCCAGAGTCAGTCAGGGCAGCCGAAGGCCTGGATGTTGCCAGAGGACCAGATACGTGCCACCAAATCCAGAAGCTGCTGCAGTTTCTTTAGTGGTAAGATATTAAACAACAGCATAGCTGGTCATGGTGGTGCACACCAGTGATCACTGCACTTGGGAGGCTGAGGCAGGAAGATCCCTGAAAGTTCCAGGCCCTACACAGCGAGATCCCATCTTAAAAACAAAACAAAACAACAACAAAACCAAAGCATGAAGCCTACATCATATCTGATACAATTCCACAGGCATCACTCATCTGGAGACAAACCTGAAAACTGCCCAGGAGTTGCTCCTTCTGAATTCCAGTCCTTTCACTTGATATTAAAACTGCTAATTCATCTGAGACTCAGGATAGAGCCTCTGAGGAACTGCCCCACACAGTGGAGCGGGGGCTCGGTTCCTCTGGTCCATGGGGGAGAGCAGCATTGATCCCAGGTAACTGCCACTGAGGAGGGCATGAAGGCACCTGATTGGGGTGCAGCAGCACCCTCCCACACTGAGCTTTACGTGGGATGTTTAAGGCCTCACATTACACAGCAATATGAAGTAACTTTTTAAAGTCAGAGAGAATCCGGGCATGGTGGCACACAACTACAGTTCCAGCTGTTCAGGAGGCTGAGGCAGGAGGATCCCTTGAGCCCAACAGTTCAAGGTTAGCCTGTGACAACAGTGCAGTAGTTGGTTCAATGATCTGCAATTCACAGAAACCATAGAGTTCTAGAATTGTGAGCAGCCTGATCCTGGTCATCATTCAAGTGAGCCGGTGCTGTCACGGATGCTGTGTTAAAGTCTTCCCCGGGTTTGGCCTTTGTAATCTTTTATAGGACTACTGAGTTACTTCCTCTGAATATAAGCTTTTTATCGCAGCTGGGACCCTGGCCTATAAGCTGATGTGACAACTGCATCTGACCAGACGTCTGATCACCAAGCCCGGCTTTGATCCTTACACCGGTGGGACCCTGTGTCACCTGACCGCGGCACAGCAGAGACCTGTGCACCATACTTGGGCTGCCCGGCGTCCCGACCGCTGCCAAGTCCTGTGACCACGGTGGGCTGCTGGGCAGGAGGACCTGGGAGGAGCACTGTACACAGAGGCCCCACTGTCCCTCCTGATGAGCAGGGTAACTACAGCAGTCTATCTTCCGAGCCCCCATGAGTCTGGTCTCAAACTCCTACACCGCTTTTCTGTTCTGAGTAACATTGCTCTAGACCTACAGTTAACCTGGGACTGTGCTGAAGTCCTCACAAGTCAGGTTCTCCAGAAAGCAGAGAGGTGGGGTCTAGGAACAGGATGCTCCTGGGTAACTGCCCGAGGGGGGCAGCAGAGATGGGTGCAAGGTGGGGCACCCAGCAGTGGCCTGCACCTCTGGTCCCTGGATGCTGTGGGAGCAGGGACCCAGCTGGGACAGGTGCTGCTCTCCGGGCAGGCAGAGCTGAAGGCCAGCACCCAACACGGCCGCGGGGTGGGTCCCTGAGAGGGCTTCTAAGGAGCCTCTGGACATGCAGCCTGGCGGCCTGCTCCGGGCACCAGGTGTGGGGTTCTCAGCACACTCAGACGAGTCAGCCTTTTCAGGGCCAAATCACCCTCTGAGGGTAGACTGTCAGGCATACCCTGTCCTACAACAATGCAAACACAAAAGCTGTGCATACAGCTTCAAGGAGTTCAGGTTCCAATAACTCCACCGCAGACCTGAGGTCTGAACTTCCAGTCCAGTCACTTAGAGAGTATCTAAGGCCCAGCGGAAAAGCCCAACGCCGGAAAAAGAGAAAAATCAATAAAAGGTAGTTTTCTCCTTGTTTGCCGTTAGGATATTTGTTCTACTCTGCCTTCTAAAATCACTGCCTTGTTAAACCGCGAGTGTTTAATACACACCTCGGAAACCAGGGGACGAGTGTGACGAAGCTCTCAGGGGCCACTTCGATTATCAGAGGAGAAAGAGGAAAAAGCACGCGTGAGAAGCTCAAGGACAGGGCGCCCGCTGACTGGACCGGTCCCGGGAGGCAGGGTCTGGAGGGTCAGGCACCGAAGTGTCCCGGCTGGCTGGGCCGCCCCGCACTTCCGATCCCTGCGCCCTGCGGCCGGAGGGCGGCGCTGTGGCTCCCTGGCTTTCTGAAGCCGAGAGTTTACACAGTTCAGTACAGCGAATGAAAGTCACTCTAACTGTGGGAGGACGGCCAGCAGGATTTTAAAGTGGGAGGAATTATGTTCCTTTCCACAATTCTGAGGGTACTGAACGGCGTCATGCATTTGCTAAGACACGGGAAAGGCAAGTGCACTCTGTCCGGCCCGGGTCCGGGGAGCGGGCTGGGCCCAGAGGTGGTGCTGAAGATCCAGTGGGCGCAGGGACCGCCCGAGCACGGGAGCTGGGCCTCCAGGTTGGTTCCGCCACTGCCTGCCTGTCTGCACGCTGCCCTCCCGGAGGGCTGGAAGGTGGCGGCCAGAGGTTTCAGAGGTGCCTGCAAAGCACCGAGCCGAGAGCCCCGTCACGGAGGAGCAACCCCGCGCGCAGGCGACGTGCGGACACAGGGCATGCTTGGCAGATGATAACGGGTCTGTAAATGTGAATGTGCCTCCATTTCACAGATGACCACCTGGGGACCGGAGGAAGATTCAGGGCAGCGGCAGGGCCAGGGCTGCCGAGCATCCGAGACCCCTACGGGTCCTTGGCGCAGCGCCCTCCACGCAGGGCCGACCGAGGCCGGCGCCTTCCAATTCTGCTGAGAGAAGAAGGCGCCAGCGCAGGGACCTCATACTACGCCGAGTCGGAGGCATTTGCACAGTGCGGAAAAGTCCGAGAATAACGGTAAGCGAACAAAGCAGAGTACAAAATTATATACGGACATCGACTGGGCCGTCAAATCCAAGAACGGGCGGAAGCGTGACGAGGGCTGCGGGAGGCGGCCGGGAGAGCTTCCTCCTGTAAGAGTTCCCTTCATGCTATGGCCGCAGCTGTTTTAATGTTTAACTTAACTTTTACGGACATTCAAAACACAACGTGTGCAGTCACAGTGTCTTCTCCGAGACATGATTCCGAAGGTCACGGAAGTCAGGCAACACGGGTGTGAGTGTGGATGTGCTGCCCGCGGCCCAGGCCAACGGTGCCGCACTGCCCACACCTGTCACGACCTGTAATTATTACAAGCACACACCCTGCAATCACTTCTTCCTGAGAAAAGAAATGAACTTCCTTTAAGGCGTGTTTTTTAAAATGCTTCTTTGTAACCGAAGTCATTCATCAAAGGACATTTAAAAAGCCCACAGACTGGAAGGCGTAGCGAAAAGGCCTGGGTTTGGTCTCCAGCACCACAGGGTGGACGGGCGTGTGCGCGTGTGTGAAAATGAGTCACTCACCGGGAGTTATTATGATGAATGTTACATGCTCGCGCCATTAGCACCACAATAACGGGTCGGAAGGCTTTTCCTTTTCCATCGAAATAGTACTCTGACATCTCCTTAAGTTCTGCTGTAGATGTGAGCAATTCCTAAAACGAAGTCCAATGAGATATCATGAGCACAAAAGTCAACAGGATGTTTGGTCAAACTTCGGTTTGATTTCAATGCGTCCACTTCAATGAAGAAATCCAACCCTGAGGTGGACAAGGCTCCAGCATCCGGTCCCGTCCAGCAACACGGAGCAGCTCCCACCTGGAGGCCACACCAACAAGGCCTGGCTCCCCCGTCCCCAGTGTCCCTTGTGCTGGGCACAGTCGGCATCAGCCACCGGCGAGTCCCACACAGCAAGCGCTGGGAGGAAGCACCGGGTGGCCCAGGACTCTGCCAGGGACGGCTGACAAAGAACAGAACTCAGGCTGGGGGCAGCCGGGAGACGGAGCGGGAGGAAAAAGAGAAGACTTGTGAGAGTCTGAAGTCGGCCGCACATCAGGGCAGGAGCGGACGGGCTGGACTGGGAGGAGAAGCAGGGTCTAACGGCTGGGCCTTTAGCAATGAACACTTCAAAGGTTCACAGAGGAAGCGTAAAGCAGTTTGTCTAACTGAAAGGAGTTTACCACCACTGAGTCCAGGACACAAACACCATAAAACTTCACTCAGCGTATGACACAGCAGCGTGCCCTGCATTACCAAGTCACAATGATGAAAATATTAAAGATTCAGAGAAGGCAAAGATCAGAGCTGTTCAGAACACCTGAATATTTCGTGGAGATAAGCTTTGAGAGAGGCCCTTCCACGCGTGCGTGTTTGTCCTACCTGCCACTTAAGGACACGCTGACCCTGATTCCCTGACCACAGTGGGGGAGCCAAGAATGGACCCTCAGAGAGGACAGGACATGGGGGAGCTGTCAGGATTGCACTGGACGGCCAAGTCGGGACCGAGCACTGTCACAGATGAGCAAGGCAACCTTTGCTACCAGGAGCCCAGGCTTGGACGGGTCACGTAAACCGGTAACTACAGTTCACACAGCACCGGATGGCGGGTCCTCTCGCTGAGCCGAGGGCACGACCCTGGGAGCACACAGGTGATGGCCTGACCTGGTACTGAGGGACTGAGGTGACACAGAACAGAAGAATGTGGCACCTGAGCACCTGTCCTGTGTGACACCTTTAATGATCAAGGACACCAGAAAAAAAACTTTTGTTGGGCTGACAAGGAGAGTTTCTGACACAGGAGGTCAGGCAGTCGTGGACACTGCATGGAGTTGACAGCAAGCAGAAGGGACGATTCAACTGGAGGCAGAAATGACATCTGGAAGCTGCAGGTATGGATGGGAACAGCTGTACGCAAGGCAGAGAGAGAGAGCAGGGGCTGACAGAATCCCAGGCAATGGCAAAGTTAAAGGGAGTGGGAGGGTGGAGGAGATAGAGAGCAACTCATGAGTAAACTGAGTAAGTCTGAGGGGTAAGCAAATACAAAAATCTGGAAGCCAAGGGGACAGGTTTGTTTTGTTTTGTTTTGTTTTTGTGGACAGAGGAGGAATCTCAACAGTGGTCACTGTTCAAAATAGGTCAAAGAAGATGAAAACAGACATGGCATGGCCACCAGATTTAGTAACTGGAAACTAAGGGTACACTGGGCAGAAGCAGTTTCCGCAGAGGCCAGAAATGAAGCCACCCAACCACAGTGGAGTGGCGGTGAAGGGGTACGGGCAGGACAGAGGCCAGAGGATTCTGTATGGCCTGGAAGAAACGGAGGCACCGGGGCCACTGTGGGCCAGGTGTGGCAGCACACACCTGTAATCCCAGCTACTGTGGAAGGGAGTCAGGTGGATCTCAAGTGTGAGGCCAGCCTGGGCAAGGCAGCAAGATCCCATCTCAAAATGAGGACGGGCCGGGGGTATAGCTCAGTGCTGAGGAGCGGAGTTCAATCCCTGGTACGGAAAAAGAAAGGGAGGGTGGGCTGGAGCCCCTCAGATGCGTGACAGACAATGACAAAGGGTTTACAGGTGAGTGACAGGAGCAGGTGACTCCTGGCGGTGGGACTGGACTACCTCGGGGAGGACGGGGACATGGGCTTCAGGGGAGGGAGGACAGGCTGCAAGCATGCAGAGAAAGTGTGACAGAGCAGAAGCTAGGCAGGGGACAGAGCTGGGGGGCGAGTGCTCGCCTACTAGGTGCGAGGCCTTGACTGCCGTTCCCAGGTCTGTGAAAGCCCATGAGCTGGGGCCTAGGAGAAGTGGGGACCTTTGGGAGAGGGAGGAAGGAAGGATGTGAGTATCGCTGGACGAGACGCTATTTGTATTTGTTATTAACGTTTTCTGCTGTGTGACCGCTTCAGGGCCAGTAGCCTATGGACAAGAGGCCAGGCAACACTTGGGGGCCACAGTTTGCTCTGGCATGAGACACTATGACAGGCCTACGGGGACAGGACTGCCATAAATCCAAACTGATGCGTTGCACAGCATTTTAGAATATACATGAGGTTGAGAACCACTAAGAATTTTTGGGAAAAAGAGATAAAGAAGACAGTCACTTTGGAGGCAGGCTAGCAGTGACATTCAGAATCAGCTGTAGGCGTCACAGGGAGGTGTTGGATATGAAGAGGAAAGGTTAGATACTTCTGGACAGGCACCTGCCACCTACACTTCCCAATTCTGCAGCAACCTCATTATGCACAGTAACATGCATTGCATCCTCCAAATTGCCCAGCACCCGCTTGCGCACGTGTGTTGCTTAAGTAACATTCAAAACCTGAGGTATGCAAATCAGATCCACAAGGCGATTGTACCTATTTGAAAACCTACACTATTTTCTTACTTCTAACACTTTACCAAGGTACAGGAAACTAAGACATTACAGCAGAATCAAACAGACTCACCTTTTTAATATCTTCATATAGACCTTTCAAGTCTCTCCAGCCGAGTTTAAAGGGATCGGTGTATTTCTCACCACTCTGTGTTTTACCACAACAGCACACCCCTGGTGTTGTGTGATGAAACCTGATTTAATAGAAAAATACACATGAATGCACTTTAAAGAAGTAACACACACACACACACACACACACACACACACTCACACAGTGGTCATAGTTGGATAATAGATAATTAAGCCCTTATATTTGCTGGAAATTAAACATGAATAAGAAAAGGTCATAATTTAGAAAAAGAATTCTGCTCCTGATAAATATGTTAATAGATCATTTTTATAAAGATGACCTTGAGAATCCACAATATCAAAGCAGCCCTGAACTATGTTCCTTGTGATCCAGGTTGAACTCAAACTGTATTGTACACCTATGTTTTGAAAAGCATTTTAACATATTTAAACATCATGTTAAATTTCACATTCACAATTAAGGACAGAGATTTTCTGGCAACCTGCTTAATTAATCATTCTAGCAGTTTCAATAGATTGTAAACTTACCGTGATACACTGCACACATTTCGAAAGGCAGACGTTATGCTCTTCACAAGATTAAAATAGGACATCTGTAAAATGGAAATATCAACGAACTTGTAAGATAATTCCCGAAGAAACCTGTTCACAACATCAGACAATAAAACCCCCAGAGCACATAATAAACATGATCTTTTAATCACCCATTCAGAGGTAGCAGGCTGCAAACTTCAGAAAAATGATAATTTCAAAGTTTCCTTTCCTTATTACAGAAGCAATACTTTTCACTAGAGAAAACCTAACTAGAAAAAGGAGGAAAATGTAAAATCCTATAAACTGTCCCTTCCAGTTTCCATACTCAACCTACCCAGCCCTCTGCTTACTAGGACAGGTCAGAGAACACAGGGCCAAACATCACACTCTTCTAAATCCCAGCAGGGCGTGGAGGGCAGACCTGCGACCTGAGCTCCTGGAGGCCAAGGCAGCAGGAGGCCACTCAGCAAGGCCCTTGCTCTCGGGCAGTGTGGGGAGCAGCGGTGGGCGGGGTGAGAGCCTCACCAGGGAGGTGAGATTTCAATATTGAGGGAGGAATTTACACTTCTACAAACACACGCATCTCAAGTTTTTATTATTAAACATATTTGGAAACAGTGCTTCTAGATAAGCAATGTTCTTTAAAAAAAAAACAAAACAACCCCAAGCCGGGGCGTGGTGGCGCATGCCTGTAATCCCAGCACTCGGGAGGCTGAGGCAGGAGGATCACTCTGAGTTCAAAACCAGCCCGGGCTACACAGTGAGTTCCAGGTCAGTCTCAACTACATAGTGAGACCCTGTCTCAAAAAACAAACAAAAAAACCAACCCCAACTGCCTCCACGTTGAGCTGCGCCCCCCACCTCCATTCCGAGGCAGAGTCTCCCGAGCTCTCCTTCCATAGCCCTGGGGTCACAGGCATGCACCTCCCACCCAGCTTTAATCCCAACAGTTACCGGGGGCCACTACTGTGGGCAACAAATTGTGGCAGGCCTTGGGGATCCAAAGAAACAGACTGACGGAACCCTAAAGAATGAAGCATTTAAAAATGACTAATTTAGGGCCGGAGATTTAGCTCAGCGGTTCAGTGGCCTGTCTCGTAAGCGCAAGGACCTGAGTTCGATACCTGGTACCAAAAAAAAAAAGACTAATTTAACTACATGTGGTAAGGGCCCCTATACAGATGTTTGAAGAAGCATTTTGACAAAAGGGACGAATATAACATTAATATGAATATAGTTTACCTGCCCTGTGCTCAAGTCTTACAGCATGCTTTAAAGTCATTTGAACCTCACACTACCGTCTGTCTGTCTGCTGTCCTGTTGTTCCTGCCTAGCCTCCCAGAGTTCTGGGATTACATATGTGCCCTGCACAACCATCCCTGGAGGCTTTTCTACTTTATTTTGAGACAGGGTCTGGCCAAATTGCTCAGGCTGGCCTCACTCGGTTCCTCCTGCCTCAGCCTCCTGAGTAGCTGGGATTTCCTTACCATACAGCTAGCTCTTTATAAACACTTGGGGAACTTGATTTTCCCAGATATAATAAAGCACCTACAGAGTCGTGTGCATTATACGAGCTCACTGAAAACGTGCACATGTACACACATGCACACATATACACAGAGGGGGGGAGAAAGACAGGGTTTGGAAATACACGAACCCAGGGGTTCAAGCAGTTACTCCAGAGTAAACAGGACAGTGTTTTTGGTTTTATTCCTTTTTTGTTTGACATTTCCAGATTTCTCTTTCATGAAGCAGGCTGCTTTAGGCACGTGAAGGTGTCATTGAACCTGACTCTGCCAGACCGTGCCTGAGGAAGACTGCGTGTTTTCCCCACCACCGCACACTCCATGCACTGAACCGTTCACGATGTCCAAGCAGTTGGTGTCCCACAAAACAGGGCAAGACACTTTCGACTTTTGTCGTCTTATGACACCTATATTTTTCCTTATTGAAATGAGGGCTGGCTAAATTGCCCAAGCTGGCCTTGAAGTTGCCATCCTCCTGCCTGGGCCCCGAGAGAGTGGGATCACAGGTGTGTGCCACTACCCGAGTCACAACCTACTTCTAGCCTTCAGGAGCAGTTAATCACACAAACTCAGTGTCTTATTACTGAGAATAAATTACTGATAAATTACATCTGATAAATTACATTTCAGTGAAAGAACAACTATTCATCTTAAGACCCCGTGGTATGCTCTACTGGGGTACAGTTAATTAATACAGAGCATTCTTTACCGCTGGGAGGTAAACAGCACAGTCATTGGAGGACAAAGTCTGGTTCAAATCTCATTGTTTCCTTGTGTTTGACATCTTTACGATAATAACTATTCAGAGAGATGCAGAGATTACTGAGGGGCGCCATGCATGTGCGTCAGGTGCTCGGCTCAGCACAAAGCACACCTGAGGAGAACTGCACCTACTGTGGGTAATTTACTAATTTACTAATTAAGTGTCGTAAGTGCCCCACAGCCTTGCCTACCATTGCCTAATGCCTGGTGCTGCCACGCCCCAGCACTGCAACCTACACGGAAGATAGCATCTACTCAGGGTTCTTCTACTCTAACAGGTCCTGAGGGCAAAGTTCCCAAAGTGAGGTTGGACACTATCCCAAGAGCAGTGACACAAAGAAACTGGAGCTGTAATGCTCTGCTAGCGGCAGCAATCATCGTCCAATTCCAATTTTGTTTTCTCTTCCCATCACTTACTGTCCTGAAAAATTAACCATGCTTCTCAAATATTCACTTTTTTTTTTTCACTGCTTAAAATAAGAGACGGGGCCAGGGATTTAGCTCAGCGGTTCGGTGGCCTGCCTCGCAAGCGCAAGGACCCGAGTTCGATCCCCGGTAAAACAAACACACAAACAAACACACACACACACACACACACACACACACTAAATAAAATAAGAGAAAATGCTCAATAAGAATCAAAGATCTACTGACAACTAACTTACCAGTCAAATGCACACTGACTGCTACCTTCTTACAACAGCTGTTAACAGTATCCGTGGAAAACAGGCCTACAAATACGAGGAAGTCGTTCAGCTGTGCTGGAGACAGACTTGGCTTACTGCTGCTCGCGGTCCCCAAAGACAAGCAGACCCCAGAGACCTGAAGTGACCAAACACACATGCCCATAGCTGACACTCAAATGTTCGGTAAAGATCTCCCTTGCACACAGCTGGCATCGTCGGTGCAGCCCCTCCCTGAGGCCAAGGAGGCAGACAGGAAACCAGGAAGCAGAGTGTCTCCAGCTGAGACTTTCCCAAGGCCGAGGCTGCTTGGAAGGCGCGAAAGAAAAATTAAAAAAAAAAAAAAAAAAAGGACTACCTGGTGGCTGCACACGGTGGCTGCACACGGTGACTGCACGAAGTCTGAAGCCGGGCTAGGACGGTCTCGAGACGGAGCCCAGCAAACCAGACGTCCTCCTCCAAGCCTCTCCCCACAGGCCCTCCACGCTCCCTATGCGTTCTTTACCGCCAAATGGTCCCTTCTCTCCAAACTGTTGCATGTAATCCGCAACATGCATCCACTTTGCCACAAAATAAACGTTTATAGGTGCAACATATTTCACACTGGCAAATACACGGACGAGTGCACGGAGGATTAAGTGTATCAAATCTGACTGAAACTGCAGAGCCCGAAATTCAAATGGCGGGGAGGACTCACAGACGGAAAGTAAACCAGCGTGATGAGGGGTCTGTAAAAGCAAAAGCGAGCGCCTAGACGTCTAGTGGTTAGGCTCACAAGTGTGGGTCTAGCAGGCACGCTGTGAATTCGTCACTACACAGTGAAGAGGGGCCCAGGGCCATCACATCGAGTCAGCCAGCAGCTGAGCTGACCGAACAGAAGAAATCAAACCGGATCGGAGGCTGCACGGGGACGCGGAGGCTCTGTCAGCGCTCTGATTCGGGGTCCACTCGCGCAAGTCTCAGATGCGACCCAACGGCTGCCCGAGTCTTTGCAGGGCCCTCCCGCCCGCGGCGGTGCCCTCCCTACAGGGCACCCAGCCGGCGC